TTTTTTTTTTTTTTGTATATATCCTTTGTTGTTCCTCGAACACTCTCCTCTATCCTTATATTATGTCATTGTTGTAGTTCAGTTACAAGATTAAATAAAATAATAATTAATAAACTTATTAAGAAATATCGATAAGAAAATATCATCGAAATAGGCGTGAAAAGTTTACTTACTTTAAGACGATTTATGCTTTTGTGGAGAGTAGATCAATCGGTGTAGCAGACATACATATAACACGTCGCCCCCAGGATGTTACAGTTTTATAATTACACTTTATGAATCTACACTATTTTTAGAGTCACCAAACTCAAAACATCCTTCTTTACCCAAAAATATTTAAAAAATAAAGTAAAGTAAAGAAAATAGGAAAATGTGGAGGACCTCTCTTTTTTAAGCAAATAGACATGTCCTATTTATAGGACTCATGGTCTTGTAACTACCATTTGTATGTTAATGATAAGAATAAATTGGGTAATTATCATGAAATGATATGTCCTTAAATAGAACAATTAACCTATAATGGTTAGCTTGATCAAGTCCTTAATGAGACAATAAATTTAATTTATAAAATATATTATTTTAATTTTTATTAAAATATTTAAGTTCCAATAATTTTTTCATTATTTTAATAAAAAATAAACCTTTCTTTTAGGTAAAAATCGATTATTATGCATAATAAAGGTAGTTAAACCTTGAACATTTACTTAGTAAGCCAACAATTCTTAATTCAAAGTCAATAGTGAACTAAGTTTTGAACTATGACCCTGTTAGAAGATACAAGAATTGTATCATACACATAATGATTCGAACGTTGAGTTTTTCACGCAGCTGGCGCATTATGACCTTGCGCATAATCCTGATTTTCATGGGTGATCTAGAAAATTGCCCATCTAATTTTCATAAAAGCGGCCTCACTTCAACACCCATATAAGTGAAATTTGTCAAGAGTGTTCCCATAACTAAGTCACCCCACTCATTGAGCTACAAATTTCATTAAGAGTATAAAACTCAACCCTTAATTCGTTATGGGATAAATGCATTCTCATCTTAGGAATGAAACCGAAAATTTTCAGTTAAATATTGATGCATCTTTCAACAACGACTTCTTTATGATTCGTTTTTCCCATTCAAAACCCAATTCTCGGAATTCAGGTTGGGTATCCTCATAGAAAGTTCTACATTATTGGGCTTGAATCCCATTTCCCTCGATGAGCACTAGACCTTGGACTATGATAATAGACTTTTCTCCAACTTTTGTTTTTGCCAAAGGCCTAGCTGGTGGTATAGTGGGTAAAAAGAGATTCAACTCATTCTTTTTCTCACATTTTTCCATCAACCCACATGTCTACTAGCTCATAAAATTCACATTCATATTTCTCAAGTTCTCAATTCACGATACCATAG